AGGCAGGAGCCTGTTGTCTTCTCTGGACCGTCCTGCGTGGAATCACAACCCATTCTGAAAAATCTTTGAACCACTGACAAGATGGCATCTTCTTGCCCATAGGCTAATGTTATTTAGCAATACTAACACATTGGCCAACAGCAAATAGTTAAACAGCAGATAAAGGATACAAATAGTTCAGGACAGGCCGCAACACTCAGGCATTCTTTACACTTAGACATTTTATTAGTGTCATTACACAGCCTGTACGACAAGCATTATATAAAAATTAAAAGAAAATACCTTGATGAGAGCCCAGGCCTCGCCCATCTTCTCCCTCTCCTCTAGAATACATTGACATTATATTAATTCACTGCCAAAATTACATTCCAGGTACACAGTAAATTTGACTGTAAAATTGGAGTACATTGCAACACTAAGCCAGTAAACAAGGTCTTAACCTACAGTGTTGGGGTTACACTGAAGTGTACAGCACTATGCGGAGGTTGACTTTCTTTTTTATGTCCAGTTCAAAACATCTGCAGGAGAAATGTTTAAGCAACTATTCAAATGAAGATATTTTCAAAACAACCACTTGTGATATATTGTGCAACAAACTCCAGTTTAGTTAATGGAAAAATTGCTCTTTAAATACAAATTTGAAATGAGTTTTAATTACTGTCACAGAAATGTGTATTTAAAGTGCATTTTTACAGGGTAGACATAAGATTCACTTGCACTATGGAACAAACATCCCAATTACCATAAATCACCAAGCAATTCAAACAGTTAAAATCTATATGAGCAGTGGCTCTTTAGTAGTGTACTTGTTAATAGCGCAAGTCAGTCATACCTTTTGTTTGTACTCATGGCACCACGGTCTCCACCAGGTTTCTTGCAAACGCATATTGAACCAACTGAAATGAGTAAATGACAATAAAATATTTAAAAAAAAATTAAATTATCTGCAACAATTTATAAAACCGGGTTACGAAATATCTTGCGGGCAATCCACAGAGGTAGGGCAAACATTTTACAAATCAACTACCACTACCAAATGTGTTATTTGGCTTCTTACTTGTCCATGAAATCCAGTGGTAGAATTGATTTAAAAGGAATTGCAATCATCTTTGGCCATGTATTGAAGTCAGAGGAGGCCCTTTAACCTAAAGGTGGTCTTCATCTTGCAGTGAAGATAATCTAGTGAGTCTGGCATGCCATTTGGAAGAGTTAGTTTTTCAATGTTCCCCTTGATTCTGCAGGTGTCGAACCAGCCATAGCAGTCTGAGAAGAGATCACAAGCCATTAGTAAAGTTCAACATACAAGGAAATCCACTCTAGGAGGACCATTGGCCAATTGCTATTTGGGCCGTCTACTTTCCTGATATAAGATGAGGGAGAAATATTTGTAGGGCTGTTATTAGAATGCATTAGTTTTAGCTGATGCATAGTGTGTATATTAAATCATGAGAAGTTGAGCAACTGTAGGAAAGACATTTGTAACCACCAGTAGCACAGGGGGAAAGATTTCCTCCTTACAAACAAATTATTTAATAACCATGGTTGCATGGTGACTGAAATCAGACAGAGGCAAAGGATTCCCCCCAGATTGCAACATTTACTTAAAATCTTTCTCTTTTTTTAAATATAGCAATCATACCAATTCCCATCAGCTGTAGGAATAACCAAATGGGCCTCTACAAACAAATTGAGGGCTACTGGTGACTAGGCCGCAGCGGGGCAATAACGGGCACATGCGCTAGCACAGGTTGCTCACAGACTTTGTTTCTCCACACAAATATTCTAAAAATCAGAATCAAAGCATGCTATGTAAAATCAAAATACAGACCAAAACAACTGAGAATGGGAGGGGCAGATGAGAGGCCCAGACACACCATCTGGGCTGCTACTCTGCAGACAGCCTCAACCCCTGAAGACAAATAAATAGTTAAATTATATCAAATTTGATCACTACATTACTTACCAAAAGTAATCTTCTGGAATCTAACCAATACTACCAACATGAAGAAGCTCCAGACAGGAACTGAATATAGCAACACAAAGGAAACTGGCTTCTAATCCCAGCCTGGAGTTTGAGCCTCTTCCACCCGAGTCAGCTCACACATGGTTTGGGCCTTCGTGACGAGCTGGGAGACGCAAACAGAAAGTTCACTAATGGCAAAACCATTTTCCTAAGAATTGAGAATAAATAAACCTACCAGCTCACGGGATTCTCCAGTCAGACTCCAACACAGAAAGGGACAAGCATACAGCATGACAGCAACTCCATAATGTGCAGTTTTTATACCCTGTCTAATGGGTGAACCAGGAAGTGGGAGGTACCAAGGCCTGCCTGAGCCTACGGTAGCTCAGGAAGGACATTTGCTCACTGGCTACACATTGAAAAAATTATTTTTCTAATTATTCATTTATAATCTTACAGACTCAGCTTCTTCACAACGAAGATGAAGTTGTCTTGCAGTATCACCATTTAGATGATTTCATCAAACTCTGGCCGTGCACCCAGCAAGCCATGGATCAAAATCATCACACACCTGTAGTTTAGTCCATTATACACCACACTTTTGGCCAAGCTTGCAGTGTCCTTAGTTGAAGACTTGTTTCAGAGAATTTGAGATCTCCTTGTCAAGAACATGAACGTGAAGAGTGGAAACATTTATCACTTCCAATGGAGGTCTGGTAAAGCCACATGTGTGTATATGATTTGCAATCTGAAATTGATGTCTCAGAAAGGGGAAGAAGCACATTTGCAGAATGCTGAATTCAAAGCAAATACTTTAAAATTACTGGAATGACTTACTATTCTTTTAATCAAGTACTGGAACAACTGACTCCATTGCATTAAAGTGGGTCCCATAGTAAACATCTCAATTCAATTTCCAATTCATTTTATTTTGTATAGCCCAAAATCGCAAATTAGAAATTTGCCTCAGAGGGCTTTACAGTCTGTACACATACGACATCCTCTGTCCCGAAACCCACACAATCAATACATTGTTCCGAACGAACAATGTATAATACATTCAATTCTTATGACAGAAATGATTCAAGTAATTGTGAGCATTAGGCCAGACGCGCGGCAGGACCACTGCAGGGACAACCACAATCAGATAGAACCACCATCCACAGAAGCCTGTCGGGAGGGAAAGCACAAAGACTTCCTCCATCTCCATCTCTCCTCCATGCACTGGAAAGTGGACCTGTATCACCAATTGCTTCTAACAAGGTTTCTCTCAGAGATTGGGCTAGCTTTTCAACTACTGAGTGGTCCAACTGGCATCCATTATCTCTTAATGCTAACAGTTGGCTAAACAGTCTTTGAGTAATCGGCACAGGCAGAACCATCAAAATAGTTAAACTCCTGCAAAATCTAATCTACAGCTGTATTAGACGCAAGAAAGATATTTTCTAACTTAAGCAGAACAAAAGCAATTTTAACCTCAATATTCTAGATTTTGGTTTAATATTCACGATTTAGGAATACACATTCTCTTTTTTAAATGGTGATGGGTGTGTTGGAAATATTCCCTTTCAGAAGCTGGTTAGTCATTTTCTAAGATCTGTGGGCAAGGTTGTACTGGCCGCGCTGTTTGTGAATGTCTTCAGAGTGAGTCCTTTTCTTTGGCCTGTTAATAAAAAGATACGTTATATTTGAGCAGCCCAAATAAACGCTATGATGTTTTGAGCATGCAGTACACCACAGGGTTAACAAGGTGCTCTCCTGCTGCTTGTTATGACAGCTGAGTTTACAGGGTTAGTCTTTCTTACAGGGTTGTCTTTCTTTGTAACTTTTCTGTCGCTGACTTTGGGGTAAAGAGAATGTCTATGCAGCAAATCACATTTAGATGCGCTTTTTAGCGCCATCTACCATCGGGGAGATTGAAAAGGAACGAATGTGTCTCTGCACAAAATCTGAAAAGTTCAACTTCCAGCAGATGGAGCCACATACATTTCTGTTCGTTCCTGGGACTCTCTCTTTGCACTCCATTTCATTTAGCTGATGCTTTTATTGCATTCAACCAAAACGGAACAGATCCAGTCATTTCAAACAGCAAGTTTAGCATGGATGTGTATACATTCAATTCAATTCAATTCATTTTGTGTAGCCCATAATTGCAAATTACAAATTTGCCTCAGAGGGCTTTACAGTCTGTACACATACAACATCCTCTGTCCCGAAACCCACCATCGGCACAGGAAAAACTCCCCAAAAAATGAAAAAATCCTTCCAAGAGGGAAAAAAGGGAAGAAACCTTAGGGAGAACGTCAGAGGAGAGATCCCACTCCCGGGATGGACAGACTACAATGGATGCCGTGTGTACAGAATGAACAATATATAATACATGCAATTCCTATGACAGAAATTATTCAAGTAATTGTGAGTAGTAAGCCAGGCGCACAGCAGGACCACTGCAGGGGCAACCACCATCAGATAGAACCACCATCCACAGAAGCCTGTGGGGAGGGAGAGCACAGAGACTTAAGGAGAGGGTAATGATGGTTTACGTGTACAGTAATATGATTAATATCTAAAATAATAATGATGATGATGATGGCAGCAGCAGGCCTCAGCATGGCCACGGTAGGTGTCAGGACCAGGGTCCCGAAGGAACCACGATCTACGGAGACCTGATAGGGGAGAAAGCACCAAAAAAAACTCCCGGAAAGAAGCTGAATTAGTCATGTGCATTAATAAAACGTGAATTATGGTAGAACGAGAGCGTGAGAGAGGAGCTCGGTGTGTCCTAAGAATTCCCCCGGCATTCTAAGCCTATAGCAGCTTAACTAAGGGCTGGTCCGGGCCAACCTGAGCCAGCCCTATCTATAGGCAGAATCAAAGAGGAAAGTTTTAAGTTTTACTTTAAAAGAGCTGACCGAATCTGCCACCCGGACTGAAAGTGGAACCTGGTTCCACAAAAGAGGAGCTTGATAGCTGAAGGCTCTGGCCCCCAGCCTACTTTTTAAAACCATAAGAACAACCAGTAACCAGCATCTATGGAGCGCAGCTGCCTTGTAGGGCAATACATCATTTAATCTGATTCTGATCTCCCCCTTATTACATTTTTTCAATCTAACTGATCAAACTGATCTGTCTGTCACCCTAACTCACTCAATAGTGCAGTACCCTAACCAACTATGAGCATTTTAGCACTGTTGCCTCACAGCAAGAGGGTCCTGGGTTCGACTCCACCCAACAGCCTCTCTGTGTTGAGTTAGCTCAATGCCAGCTGGGGTTCACTCCAGTGATTGTGACAAAGAACGCTTTAAAAGTTTCTAAGAACACAAAGTATTTAGCAAGAAATGCATACCATAGTCATTTGAGGGTGCACAGTGGTGTGAAAAGATTCACAACATTTTCTAAAATTAAGTTATACAAAATTTTAACTATAGGCTTTTGAGGGGGCATGGTGGTGTAAGGCTCAACTCCACCCAACGGCCACTGTGTTAACTCAATGGTTGCTAATTTTTACTCCAGTAATAACGAGAAGAAATATGAACATTTTAAAAGGTTGAGTGTTTTTGAAAACATATATTTGGAAAACATCACAGTTATCAAGTTATCCTCTTTTGTGGAACCAGCTACCACTTTCAGTCCGGGGGAAGATTTGGTCAGCTCATTTAAGATGAAGCTTAAAACTTTCCTCTTTGATATCGCTTATAGTTAGGGCTGGCACAGGTTAGCCTGGACCAGCCCTTAGTTAAACTGCTATTGGCCTAGATTGCTGGGGGACTTGTTAGGACACACCGAGCTCCTCTCTCACTCTAACTCTGTCCTTCTACAATAATCCACATTTCATTATCGCACATCACTAATTCCGCATCTTCCCCACGGTGTTTTGTGCTTTCTCGCCTCGCAGGTCTCTTTAGGTCGTGGTTCTGTCTGGAAACTGTTTCTGCCTCCTGCCATGGGCCTGCTGACAACGGCTGCTGCCATCATTATCATCATTATTATTATTAGGGTCCTCGCAACGACTAGTCGTAGATGAACCTATTGTATTTCATGGAATTATTATTATTTTATCTAAGGAATTTTCCCTTTTTGAGGCCTTTATGATATTCAAAAAGTTGTTAAATTTGGCATGCATATCAGAACTGGTTTCGCATTTGAGTATCAAGAAATGTCCCTATAGCACCCCCTATAGGGCCACACTAGGCCAGTTTCCGCCCCCGATGTCCGATTGACTTGAAATTTGGCACACATGTGCTCTTGGACATGCTCTACAAAAAAGTCAATCATGGTATGCAAATGCGCCTAACTAGTACAATGAACCTGAAGTGGAATTATCATGTAGCTATTGGTCGTTTCCATTTTAAATACCATCTGAAATTGATTATACGGCTGGTGAATGAGATTTAAGGGACGGTTTGGTGACCTATGACATTTCGCGTCGCTCCACGCGGTTAACGACAACTGACTCTTGTATGCTTTGTCCGGCGGCCGCAGGAGTTCTTGGCTGCTTATCTAGCCGTCCGGCCTGTGCCCCGACGTGTGCAGTTGCAAGGACGCGTCCAACGCTGCTCGCAGCTTTAATTATTATTATTATTTTAAATATGAATCATATTACTATTACTGTCATCATAAACCAACATTACCCTTTCCTAAAGTCTCTGTGCTTTCCCTCCCTACGGGCTTCTGTGGATGGTGGTTCTATCTGATGGTGGTTGTCCCAGCAGTGGTCCTGCCGTACACCAGGCTTGCCAATCACAATTATTTGAATCATCTCTGTTATAGGAATTGAATGTATTATATATCTTTTACATTGTTCATTCTGTACACAACATCCATTGTAGTCTGACGTTCTTCATAAGGTTTCTTCCCTTTTTTCCCCATGGAAGGGCTTTTCATTTTTTAGGGAGTTTTTCCTGTGCCGAAGTGAGGGTTTTGGGACAGAGGATGTTGCATGTGTACAGACTTTAAAGCCCTCTAAGGCAAATTTGGAATTTGCAATTTTCTACTCTTTAAAATAAAATGAATTGAATATTTCTTTACATTTGTCACTTTTTTTCAGGTCGGTCCTTCCTCTTTAGGCAGTCTTCAGACAGACAGGATGGAGGGATGGATGAAAGGATAGAAGGATTAATGGATGGAAACTCTATAAACATGAAGATCTGACCTTACAGTGTTTCAAAGCTGCAGCGTCGGCTGAATGAAGCAGCCCTGCTTCTTCAGTCGTTCAGGTAACTCCATTTACACAAAAAGCAGTTTTTGGACAGACGAGGCTTTGATGCTCCAATAGCCCACAACTGACCCCCCTTCTACCTTTCTAACCCTCCATCATTATCACTGTGTGTGGGGGGTTGTGTGGTGGGATCTCCAGGGACTATATCTATTCTGCAGGCTTTTACATGACAACAGTATACACACATACTTTTACTACCTCCACCCCAACAACTTTAGTACCAACCTAAAAAAAGGTTTAATAAAAAAAGCAATAACCAATTTAAAGACAAAACAATGTGTCCTCAGAGGACCTGTTTAAAGGCCCACTTATAAACGACCGTAAACCGTATGTTTATCATCACTCAGTTCCCAGCATCATACACAATAATTGTTTTTTTCCCATGAATTTAAGGGTAACTTTTCACTGATCCAAGCTAATGATATAACCTTCACTCACTTCATTTCTGCTCTGTGGTGGTTCAGGTCTTTTAAGTGAAGCGTTACTGTTCTGCTCTGATTGTTCCTCAGGTTCTATCGAGGGGATCTGAGTCAAGGGGATCCGGTGTTCTGATGTAATTAAACCTGCTGCTAATGTTCTGACTCACTGTGTGTGTTACTTAGAGGGGGATTCCCTGAGATGTCAGGAAACTCCACAAGGACTGAGTGTTGTATTCCTCCAACTGTAGGGGCCACATGGATTTGTACACATGGGTGAGGACATTACTATGCGACAGGAAAATGACTAAGAAAAGGATATTACTATAAGACTAAGCCATTACTTTGAGAAGAGAACATTACTGAGACTTGATACTAGGATTATAATATAAGACAATAAAATTGCCCGCCATTAGAAAAAATCACGTTGGGTCAGCACGCAGGCGCGGTTGACTGTGGGAGCTAACAGAAAACTTGGTAGTGCTGGTAGAACATAACTTTCGGAATAGGACATTACTTTAACACAACGCCTTTACTATAAGACAAGTACATCACTATGAGACAAGGACGTTACTATAAGACAAGGACGTTATGAGACGACAACGTAACTATAAGAGAACATTACTATAACACAACAGCTTTACTATAGGACATGGACATTACTATGAGACAACTACATTACTATCAGACAAGGAAATTACATTACATTTTATTTAGCTGACGCTTTTATCCAAAACGTTAATCATTGCATTTAACCCATTTCCACACAGTGGGAGCAGTGTGCTGCTGTAAGGGCGCAGTTAGGGGTTGTGTGTCTTGCTCAGGGACACTTCAACATGGGACATGGAGCAGCCAGGGCTCAAACTGCCAACCCTGCGGTTCCCAGCGCACCTTCTCTACTCCATGCACCATGGTAGCCCTCGAGACAAGGACATTACTCTAAAACACAAACATTACTATGAGACAAGGATATTACTATAAACCGAGGACATTACTATAAGACGAGAATATCACTATGAGATAAATACATTACTATAAGAGCAGGGTGTATTCAATAATTTCAGAAAACCATCCGTCAAATGAGCTTCCAATGAAGCGAAACCACGAGTGCAATTAAAGGGATATCGTTTGAGACTCAAGACTCTGCCAAATGCTAATTCTCTGCCGAGATATACTTTGTACGTCTGTGAGATCTGACATACGACTCTACTGGCAGTTTCAAAAACTTGTACCGTCTGCTTTGTTTTGTCTTTTGAAATTTGTCACCAGGTTTAACATTACTGCGGGTGGAGAACAAGTTGGACTTGTCTCATCTTTGGGTGCATTCTGTTGGATTCCATAGTCACATGTCTACAACCACAAAGTTGCCTAACGTCTTTTCCAAAACCAATGAATGGTGATAGTTGATGTGTGACCACTATACACAGTGATTTGTCTGTATGGAGCTTTTAATGCTGTTGATTGTCCACACATTTGAAACTCACACACCTGCACACACAGACTCTTCCATAGACTCTTTCTCTCTCATACACAAATACACACAGAGACTAAATACACACACACCTGCATACAGTGACTCACACAAACACACAGACTCTCACATAGACTCTCTCTCACACACACACCTGTACACAGAGTCTCTGGTCCGTCCTTCGTCCTGCTGACATTTACTCTCATATAAAAGGCGGCTTTGGCCAGAAGGTTCCTGCAGTGAGGCACTGAAGAAGTGACTAACTCTCACCTGTCTGCCTACCTGTCGTACTGATCCAGAAACCGTCTCATCTAGCAGCATCATGCTCACCAGGTATGTCTGCCCTCTCCCGTCTTTGTCTGTCAGTCTGTAGCAAGACGTTTTCTTTTTCATGAAATATTGTTTTCGATATTCGATTCAGTGTTGAAAAGTAAGCAGGCTTTGAGTGTATCCTCCAGTTTTTTCTTTACACATAATTAAGGATGAGCTGATTATCCAGATGTTTCTTGTCAGAAAGAATGTTTTACCAGACTGATCCCAATTAATTCAATGAACCAGACCCTATAATGGTTAAGAAAAAGTGAAGCCACGTCGTGAAGATGTGCACGTATGGAGCTGCTGAGTCTCCAGTCTGAACTCTGTACACTGAGGTTCTCCTCTTGAAAGCTGTGTTTGCTCTGCAGGAACCTTCTTCTTCTCTTTTCCCTGGTCCTTCTTTTGGTGGAGGCGGATCTCAATTCCAATGGTGAGATTAGTGATGTCATAGTGTGATGTCATGTGATCATCAGAGCACACATCGACCAGGCTAGGTTAGACATTGGGCCGTGTTAATGCATTTTTTTTCAAATTTATATTATTTTTAAAGTCCGTTGCTCTTTGGCTCTGAATACAAAGGCAGAGACATCAGAACAACCGCGAGGAAGGGGGCGCCATCACGCGTCTCAACTAATAAGAGCATCTGGGGCGGATCTAAGACTGCTGCAGTGGGGGGGCAGAAATATGGAGGCATATAACAAACTTTGGAGATTTTCATTTTAAAATCTCTTCCAGACGGAGTTTGTAAAACCAAAGTTATAGATAACCAAAGTTATTGACAATCTTCATCACTGATGTATGTTTTTATTCCTCTTTTGACTAAGATTCTGCAAAAAAATCCAGAACGAATGTTTACTTCAGACAAAAAAGTTCCTGCTCAGTGAAAAAAAAAAACATTACATTGCATCACATGTCATTTAGCTGACGCGTTTATCCAAAGTAACTTACAATAAGTACATTCAACCATAAGGATACAAACTCAGAAGAGCAACAACCGAGAAAGTGCAATTTCATCAAATAAGCCAATTTACAATTTGCTATAGATAAGTGGCATTATAAGTGCAATTTAAATGCTACAATTTGTTAGTCAAGGTAGAGTCTGAAGAGGTGTGTTGAGGTTTAGTTTGCGGCGGAAGATGCGAAGGCTCTTGCGGTCCTGATGTCAACAGAGAGCTCATTCCACCATTTCGGAGCAAGGACAGGAAAGAGTTGTGATTTGTCGAGTGTTTTGCTCTCAGTGAGGGAGGGACACACAGTTTTGCAGATGCAGAGCGGAGATTACGGGTTGGGATGTAGGGTTTGACCAGGTCCTGGATGTAAACTGGACCCTCAAACCCCTTCAATGGGGAAAAAAGGAAAGAATCCTTAGGAAGAACAGCAGAGGAGGGATCTCCTGGCTGTTATGTGTACAGAATCAGAATGTTTATGATGGTACATGTTGAGACAAACACAATTAAAAAAGGTTAACTTGCTAGTTATAATGTTATTGTTTGTGTTTGCAGATAATGGAATAGAAATCCTGTCAACAGGTAAAAGACCTGTCTTTGTCATCACTCACTTGTCTGTCTCTCACCTGTCTGCCTGTTGTTTACCTCATCTGTCCGTCTCTCACATGTCTCTCTCACATGTCTCTCTCCTATGTTTCTCGTCTCTCTGTTTCACCTTTTATCTTATCTGTCTGTCCCACCTGTCTCTCATTTGTCAGCCTCACATCTTTTGTTTGTCTGTCTCACACCTCATCGGTTGCTGTCTCAAATGTCTCTCACCTGTCTGCCTGTCCTTTATCTCATCTGTCCATCTCTCACCTGTCTGTCTCACATGTCTGTCATCTGTCTGTGTTACTCTTCATCTGTTTGTCTGACATGTCTGCCTGTTCTCATCTGTTTGTCTCATTTGTCTCTTACCTGTGTGTCTCACATGTTTCTGATTTGTCTGTCACACATGCCTTACATATATTTGTCTCACATGTCTGCCCCCCCCCCACCCAACTGTCTCTGTCTGTTTTAAAGATAAAGAGTCAACATCTGATGAAGCCCCAACAGGTGAATTACAACCTATCCACTATAATATATAGCTGTGAATATTTTCAAAAAATTGAAATGATTAGCTTATCTCCCTTCTACTCTGACGTCTGAAGATATTGCGACAAAACTGAGATTATCTGATCTCTCTTAGACTAACACGTTGTTTGGGATAATCTGTGATGTTGTTGTTGTTGTTTCAGAGAGTATGAAAGCCATATCTCCCAATCATCCTGGTAAGAAACTCTACTGTTGGTTTCGTCATAAAAACAATGTGTAAACACAAACTGACAACATTAGAAAGGTAATGTTAAACTGTAGTATTTCTTGGCCTCCTTGGCTCTCTGGAATCTATTTAGGAAGCATCATCGAAGATAGTATTTGTTATAAAGAATAACAAAGCAGAGCTTCCGCGAAGACACAGACCTCTGGAGGTTTGGCTGCTGGCACCATTGGTAAACAAATACACACGTCTAGACACAAACACAGATGTAAAAAAAATGCACATATAAACAAATACACATGTGATATCAGAGTGCTCATTGTGATGGTTGAATTCCAGTTTTAGTCTGACCTCTAGTGGTCCAACCTGATACCATCAAAGACTACCCAAACCACCAACCATATTGGCTCATGTCAACAGGAATATCACGGTTTTATCATTTATATAATGCTACATGTTTAAATTCGTGCAAGTTCAAGGTTCAAAGAACATGCAAAGCTTCAATAAATGCATTTCTAATGAGGTGGGAGCACGATGATGTTGTTACTAACGGAAAAGAAAACCCCCTCAAGACCATATTTACATTGAAGGTCTGTTTACATGAACAGGGAATAATGTGACGTGTTCACCTGAATAATGATAAATGAATCTTGTTCATGAATTCATGTCTCCACGTGTTCACCCGTTCTCTATTAATGATATCTGTATCTTGTTGATTGTGTCCATATCTACATGTGTTCATGTGTTTCAGATACCAGCAGCTCCAGTTCAGAGACTGCAGATGGTGAGAACATGTATCATCTTCATTAACATATATTTTCTGAATTATTTATTCTGTGTGATTATATCCATGAGACTTTCAGCTTTGTAAAAGAGGGAATATCCAGTAAATTATTTATTTACTCCGATGTGGAATCAATAATCAGTGTTTATTTGTTATGAAAAAAAATTGGTTTTCAATCGTCTTCAGTCTGTTTCACTTTCCATTCACTTTGTTATTTTTATCCTTTTTTATTTTAACACTAGCTCCAGCAGCCAATCAGGTGACAGCTCCTGGTGAGGCATCTTTTCTTCTTCTTCCTCTGAATATCTCTAATATAAAGTTTCTGTTGGTTGGGTGATTGACTGATTGATTTCAGAACCTGCTGCTGCCAGTGTGGAGGAAGAAGAAGGTGAGACAAATATAATGCATACTACATAATGTATACAATGAGTACTTTTATGTATGTTTCACTTAGAGTCAATTAATTTGCTTGCAACTATTTTCAGAACTATAAATACATGTGTGGACAAAATTGTTAATACCCTTCCGTTAAAGAAAAAACATACAATGCTTACTGAAACTGACAAAATGAATACTTAAAAATATACTGAATATCTACTAATTTGAATTGTGGTGAATAGAAACCGAGTGAATAGAACCATTTAAGAAAAATAAATAATGACCTAGGCCTAGACCAAAATTATGGTACCCTTACAAAAGATTTTTTTAAATGTACTAACCCAGAACGGACTTAATGGAAGACGACCAAGGAGGACACCACTGTCGAAAGCAAATCATAAAAAGCGAACATTAGAAAGGTAATGTTAAACTGTAGTATTTATTGGCCTCCTTGGCTCTCTGGAATCTATTTAGGAAGCATCATCGAAGATAGTATTTGTTCTAAAGAATAACAAGGTCAGGTCAGGTAAGTAGCAGAGGGGTTGTGAATCAGTTTCAGCTGCATTGGTGTTAACAACAGATGCCCTAGAGAGGAAACAATGACACAGCCCCGCAAACAGGACTAGTTTTGAATGCAGAGGCGTTTCAAGTTTCTCCGCTTTGATCTCTTCAACTGTTTTTCCACTAGTGTTGGCTTTAGCTAGAGTCATTATCACTACTGGGAGCATGAGGCCATTTCTTCCCTACAGACATTGCACCGATGGTCCAACTCCTCCAGGATGGCACATCCACACGTGTTGTTGCAAGGAAATTTGATGAACAATCTCCAGAACATAGAGGAGATTCCAGAAGAGAGCTGGACAAGGTCCTCAACCCATCAGCAGGACGGATATCTGCTGCTCTGTGCAAGGAGAAATAGGTTGAGCACTGCCAGAGCCCTGCAGAACGACCTCTAGCAGGCCACTGGTGTGAATGTCTCTGTCCAAACAATCAGAAACAAACTTCAGGAGGGTGGCCGTTGTGCATCCTGTAGTGTTCCCTGTGCTCATTGCCCAGCACCGTGGTGCTCCATTGACATCAGCTACAGAACACCAGAATTTGCATGTCCACCACTGGAGCCCTGTGCTTTATACAGATGAGAGCAGGTTCACCCTGAGCACCTGTGATAGACGTGAAAGGGTCTGGAGAAGCCAAGGAGAACGCTATGCTGCCTGCAACATGGTTCAGCATGACCGATTTGGTGGTGGGTCAGTGATGGTCTGGAGAGGCATATTGATGGAGGGACGCACAGACCTCTACAGATTAGAGAACAGCAGTCTGACTGCTATTAGCTATCGGGATGAAATCCTTGAATCCCTTAGAATTATTTGGGAGGACAATCAACACGACACCATCCTTGGTCTCATACGGAGCATACCCCAATGTTGTGTAAGCATATATTAGAAGGATTTTGAGTTTAATTTTGGCAAAATGGAATAGCCTGCAACATGATTTTTTTTACTTGGATTATCAGGGTGTCCATAAAATGAAGTCCTCTGGGTGCTGAAACTTTTACGTCCTCCCGTTTTTAAGACATTAAACTGTCCATATCAGGATAGATATCCAACATTTTTTTCACTTTGAGATCTGATTTTCAAAGTGTTTCTTTTTTATGAGCATCATATAATAGAACATAAGCACAACTGTGTGTTTTCACTCAAATGCTGAGTAATTGATGACCAGTTTTGCAGTAGTAGTCACCTTGTTAAGGCTTAAAAGCATGATATGTGTTGATTAAATACCACTGTAAATAACACTCTATCATTGTAAAAGTGATTTCACAATTTTACAGTTAATTTAAGCATCTTTCAACGTGATCTGTTCCTGATGTTGTTCTTTAATGTTTTTTTAACTCTTTTTCTTCAGACAATGAACATTCCAATTCTAAAGGAGGGAACAAAAAGTTTCAACCCCGCTCAGCCGAACCTCCAAGACCCGCGCATCCACCACAACGCCCTGCCCTTATTATCACAAACCAGAACCCTGGCCTCACATCTCAGCCAATCATTCCTCAGTTGAAAACTCTAGTGAAAAACCAAAAGCCCAAAAGAAGATCCAGAACCAATCGGCTTTAGATATCAAACCTCATGACACAAAGGTTTAAATCATTCATCACATATTAGTGACAAGAACAACATTTTAAAACGTGAAGATTAAAACACACAGGTTAAAACGTGGTTTCGGAAATAATCATGTTCACATACACAGAATTAATACCTGCACGTGTGTGTCTGCAAGTTACGTCACACACGTTTAAACATCCATGTTGGAACATGCATTTCAATCTCTGCATTCTAATGCCGATATGTTAAGTGGGTTCTTGATAATTTTAATGAATCCAGCTTCTGCTATATTTAATTGATTTGGATCCTGATATATGTTTAATTAATTGGACTCCCTGCACAACTCTCAGTGTATCTGCTGTTTTATGTTGTCTACCGTCATCCCTAAGATCATAAATAAACTTTTGAAAATGATTTTCACTTGTTTCATTTGTTACTTTTGTTTTGCGTCAATAAAGTTTAAGTTAACTGAAAATGACCTTCATCTGACCTCTGACCTTAAGTTTCTCATATTAATGGTTAATGGGTACAGTTACATGCACGTATCCTCCACTGTGGTTTATAAACCCTAATTTATGTGATGAATCCTAACCCATTCTTTGGCATGTCACTGAGCAAACTACTCCGGCACTGTTAATTACAAACCAGTTCGCTGTTGCACTTTATTTTTAATTTTTAAATATTTTTAACTTTAACTTTTATTCCTTAATTTTAAAACTAACCCATATCCTTAAACTACTAAACCATAGCATTATATTGTATTTTGCTCCTCGTGCACCGTTGTCTTGTCGTTCATTGTCGTACTGTCTGCTGTTACGCACCAACCACCAAGTCAAATTCCTTGTATGTCTGACATGGCAATAAATGTTTCCTGATTCCTGATTGCTGATTAATTGATCATTGGTAATCAAACTAAATTGGACAGCAAATACTAAATTGGACTGTACTGTATACAGTGCTGCATGCTGGGTAAAGATGATCTTACTGGGGGAAGTCAGGGAATCGGTAACCTGAACCCAAGGTGTCGGCTGCATTGTCCTTGATAATATTAGTACTTTTGTTGAGCTGAATGAAGAATTGCATATTGAGATTTTACAAGGAGACACACACACTCTCACACACACACACACATTATAGACCTTGATCCCATTTCCTGGAAGAAACGTGTGTCATCAGTTTACACTCAGGCCGGTTAAGGCACTGGTTCACTTCCTTAAAAACACATTTATGAAAATTAGATCAAAATGTTGTCTAAACACACAGAATAAATCTGGTCTAAACTTTGTCTGAATCTGGTCTAAACCTGTTCTAAATGTAGTCAAAACCATAATAAATTAATTCTGTACTAAACTGATATCTACAGCTTTCTATGATTCAAAAGAAGAGAAGAAAAATCTGAATGTTGCTTTAGTCTGAGTACTGTCATCCAAGTAGAAACAGAAATCAGCTGGTCTTTTTATCTATATTTTGACTCGAGATAAATACGATTGATTTTGACTTGGAGGGCAGACATTGAGCCGGACAAGTGACCATAGGTAGGCGGGAGGGGGAGAACAAGGAGGAGGAGGGACGAGGGAGTTAGCAGGGAGTATAATAAGCTGCTGCTCTTTTTCTGTTGAGTTCAAAATCTCATCAACCACTGATGTTTCATCCTGTTAACATTTGTTTCCTGCCGACTTGTCCAACAGCAAAAATGCTCCAACGGTGAGTTTTTAATCTCTTAAACTGTTTGTGAGTTTGTACGACTAACGAAAATAAAAACATTAGTCGTCACAACCCCAACTCTGTTAAATATGAAGCTCAAACATTATAAAACACGTTGTAAAACTTAAGAAATGTTTTATGAAATCTGATGAGGCATGTGGAAAGTTTCTCTTCTCACTACATATTCCTGAAGTAATTGGCCTTAATTTCTTTCATTTGAAAATGTTGTGTAGAGAAGTTAATGTTTCTTTATATCTTTCTAATCAGACTCTCTATTAGTCCTGTATAGTTCAAAACACTTTTATACGTCCGATACTTATAGAGTCATAGTTCTTCCATTTGGGACTGGAAATATTTTATATTTTATTAATGTGATCACTTGGCAGGTCAAGAAGTACAGCTTGAGTTTAGAGAAATGTATATTTGTTTATTAACGACCAATCTTTCGATTCTTCCTGCTAATGAATGATTTCTTGGTCACCAGAGTCTATCTTTCTGCCGTCTATGACCAAAAACAAGGATATGAGGGGTTTCCTCTCCTGACACTCGATCTCTTCATGAATTGTATAGCTTTACTCTCTCTTTGAGGATCTCAGAGGCTTTTTTCTTGCAGCTTCTTTTTTTCTATACGTTGGAAAGAAGAGATGCTTTGTTTGGTTTTTCTCTAGAGGAAACAAAGAATCTCAGTCATTTCACCTTCTGGCTGAAGACAAGTTTCACCCACAACACTCCTGGCATTGTTTACAGCCTAACTTTACCTACTTTGTTTATTATTTACTTTACTGAAATTAACTCTATGTCCCATTGTTCACTGCCTCTACTTTACAATCTACTTTTACTTTTTGTTAGTTATCATTAATTAATTGAAAATGTACTGTAAATACTTTTTAAAATGTGGGATTTGTTACACATTATTTACTTTAATTCCTGTTCCTTATTTTAATTACTTTTTAGAACTAACGTTTACATTTACAAAGATTCCAAATTCAAACATGAGCAAACAGCTAACCTTAACCCAACCACACATTCTTTGCTCTGTTCTTTACTCTATTCATTCTATTGTTCGTTAATCAATTTACTCTGGTCTTTAATCTATATTCTCTGTTTTTACTTTATCAACCTGTTCACTTTGTGCATTTGTTCATAGGTGTTTTATGTTGCTGCTTGTTGCCATGGCAGCTGTCTCTCTCGCGGCACCAGTCTCTGGTGAGCTATGACATGATCTCTGTCTGTCGGTGCTGCTTTCTGTCCCACTCTCATCATGTGTCTTCTTGTCTTGCAGAGGGAATAACAGTTGACGGTAAATATTAACTTTACAATGAATACATCAGCAGGTCAGAGGCGGCACAAGCACAAAAAGTTTTGTTTGCGATGTCCTTTTCCTACTGCCTCAGAAAATGAACCATAAGTAACAAAAATATTGAAATATATATCGGATATCTAAGCTTCTTGTAGTTTGCAGACAAATAGAGAGAGATACAGAAATACATGCATATGTATACATATAACATATACACATGTTATATATAAACACACAAACATTCATATATATATATATATATATATATATATATATGAAGTGGGTGTGTATCTGCAAAGCATTCTATTGTTTTGTTTTTCTTCTGAATGTGAAACAATTTGCTGCTTATTTTAATAAAGCTAGAGATAAATGGATGTATAGGTAGATAGCTTTATCATTAATATTATCAACCAGAAGATGAAACCTTCGTTTTACAACCACAGGCTATAAGCAACGATACACTAAATACCAGATTCACACAGAATAAATGGATTTTCCACAAAATTAATTATATTATTGTATTAATGCTGTAACTAAGCTCCTTTGTCAATCAAAGTGGCATGCATTTACTTCTAATAAAGACATATTGAATTTATTTTCTTCATTTTAATACATTCTATTAAATTATAGTAATCTAATAATAATGATTAATTAATGATGTGCATATTTGTTTCTACCATTTCAGAGATAACAACAATAACGCTGCTAGATGAAACAGCAAATGGTAACAGAAACAGACACAACACACGATGTTTATTGCGTTAAACACCACACAATAGACATTATCCACTAAAATTACAGTATCCAAGACATAAAAAATCATCTTCATGTCTTCTTGAGACCACAGGCTCCGATGGACCCTCTCAAAATAGCCTGTCTCAAGGTTAGTCGGTCCCCTGTCTGTCTGAAGGCTTCTGATATTTCAATTGCTGCCAAAAGAAAGTGACTGCTACTGCAGTCATTACTATGGTTACTTTTACTATGGATGCTAAATTCCCCAAAATATAGAATGGAACTAGTGGTTCTATGTATCTTTCTGTTTCAGATTCCAGTCAGGCACCCAAAGCACAAGGTCAGTGTGTGTCTCTATTTCAAATTGTAGTGTATGTTGGCTAAATATGAATACATTTATCTGAACTGAAGCAAAGACACTGATTTCTTCCTTTTCGTGGAGCCCTGCAGCAATAAAATGCTGAAGGATATTCTATGAGTCATGACAGCACTTTAGACTGCAGAAAGCTACGCATTCCTTAAAGTTTTAGTAATAAGGTATTTTCTGCAGTATATTTTTAGGTAATGAGGAACTCCCTGACGAAGAAACTGCAGTATAAGTCAACAGAACAATGTGTTTCCTTGTATGTTTTAAGGGAATTTCTCATTCTTTCTTTAAGTTCTTTAGGTTTATCCATAGTCAGATTTGTTTAAAATGTCATACATAATTTTAAATGTGCAGTACTGGTTTTGAAGTAGCAGTACTAATAATAGTTGTAGCAATAATTCTTTCACTAATAATAGTATTACTGGCAGTAGTTGAAATTGTATCTTTTCAACGGACAGTTGAGCAGACAGACAGCGTACTAGCAGAGGACCAAATTACAAATATCAATCTGAGTCACCAATCTAAAGGGAAGAAAAGTGGCAAACACAACCCCTAAAGCCGCCCGATAACTGATATTTAATTGTTGCCGTCAATTGTCATTGGTCAATGATGCTATAAGTCGTAGTTAAACAGCGCTTCTTGCTGTATAGGTCATAATAATATAGTTCTTGGTGCAGTGTAAGTTGTAGTATTGTATTACTCTAGCTCTAGTATTACTGTAGCAAAAGTTACAATAATGTAGTACTACTGCTGCTGCAGGCAATACTTTAATATAACTCATACTACATTACAATAATCACGCTGAACTATGACTAATAATCAATCAATCAATCACACTTCATTTCAGACTCAAGGTGCAGATAGTACAAAATATCAAATGGAGTTAAAAAGTAAAGATAGAAAATACACACAAGTACATACTGCAGAAAGTACTGCATTACTAAGATTAATACTGCGGGAAGAACTGTATCAATGCTCCTTACACTGCAGAAGGCACTGCACAGAAAGTAGTGCAATACTATGACTCATATGGCAAAAAGTTCTACATTGTGTGATTTATACCACTAGAGGTACTGCAATAATGTGACTATAATATGAATAAAAAAACAGTTTGACTAATACATAATGACTGCTTAACATTGACATTAATGCAGGAGTCACTGTATAACAAAGACCTTTACTTTTGGAGGCATGATTAATAAGTGTGCAACATCTCCATCCGCAGATATGATCTCTCAAACTGAAACCGATGACCAGTCTTACAAGAACTTATTAGAGAATGCAACTGACAACCCAGGAGAAAGTCAGTGAGGCACAGACTGAGCAGCAATCAGTGGAGACAGCCAGAGATGATAGTTCACCCGGAGGAGAACCTAGTAGACACTGAGGAGCAATCAGTGGAGACAACCAGAGATGATAGCTCACTTGAAGAGAACATAGTAAAGACTGAGGAGCAGTCAATGGAGACAGCCAGAGATGATAGCTCACTAGAAGAGAACGTAGCAAAGACTGAGGAGCAGTCAATGGAGACAGCCAGAGATGATAGCTCGCCAGAGGAGAACCTAGTAGAGACTGAGGAGCCATCAGTGGAGACAGCCAGAGATGATAGCTCACAAGAGGAGAACGTAGCAAAGACTGAGGAGCAGTCAGTGGAGACAGACGGAGAAGATCGCTCACCAGAAGAGAAGCTAATAGAGACTGAGGAGCAATCAGCGGAGACAGCCAGAGATGATAGCTCACCAGAGCAGAATGCAGTAAAGACTGAGGAGCAGTCAGTGGAGACAGACAAAGAAGATCGCTCACCAGAGGAGAACATAGCAAAGACTGAGGAGCAGTCAGTGGAGACAACCAGAGATGATAGCTCACCAGAGGAGAACGTAGCAAAGACTGAGGAGCAGTTAGTGGAGACAGATGGAGATGATAGCTCACCAGAGGAGAACGTAGCAAAGACTGAGGAGCAGTCAGTGGAGACAGACAAAGAAGATCGCTCACCAGAGGAGAACCTTGTAGGGACTGAGGAGCAATCAGTGGAGACAACCAGAGATGATAGCTCACCAGAGGAGAACATAGCAAAGACTGAGGAGCAGTCAGTGGAGACTGGTGGAGATGATAGCTCACCAGAGGAGAAAATAGTAGAAACTGAGGAGCAATCAGTGGAGACAGCCGAAGGCTATAGGTCACAAGAGGAGAACGTAGCAAAGACTGATGAGCAATCAGTGGATGCAACTGGAGATGATAGTTCACCTGAGGAGAACATATTAGAGACTGAGGAGCAATCAGTGGAGACAGCTGGGAGTAATATACCGGATGATATTCGGGACTTTAATGAAAAGAGTTAAGATGAAGGTCTATATGAGGTTTTTTAGAACATCTTACACATAAATAACCAAGAGATCCGGATGAAGAAATCAGAGTTCACGCAGTTCATATTGAATTCAGCAAACACAAAAAGAAAAGGTCTTCTAGAAAAAGAGTAAATATAGGAAAGAGAAAGAACAGGTGAAGGTGAGAATATAAACCTTTCAGTGTGAAGAGGAGAAATTCAGAAGGAAAAGCTACATCAAAAGTTTGATGCTCATGAATTCTCACATGTTTCTGGTTGCAGCACCATCCACTGACCAACCTGATGACTCTATTGCTGCAAAGGGTAAAGACCACACCCTAGTGTGACATCACACCATCTGACAGCCAACCACAGTTCAGATGCTTTGAGTAACAAATAGAGCATGAGTGTTTCAGTCTAGCGTTTGTTGCATGCTGTTTTATTGCAGCATAAAGAGAGTTATGAGAAGACTACAAAGAAACCAAGATTCAACATTTTTTCATTGTTTTATGATCCAGACCTTTTTCTGTGTATCTTTTCACAGTGTCATACATAGTTGTTGTCTGATCTGTGGAAGCTCACCAAGTGCAGGTAACATCACTCACTAGATCATTACTGATTCACCTGGTAATTCCAATGAACGGCCATTTGGAAGTGTAATTTATGCAGATAGAACCACACTGCTAACGAGAAACATTAAAATGAAAAATGTACATATTCGCTTAGCTAAAATTATTTTTTTTCTATTGACACATTTCTTAATAATAATAACAAGACTATTGTTCAGCCAATTGTGTTTTGTTGTTTCTTTATGAAAATAACTTCAAAATATGTACAATCATAAAAAGCAACAACAAAATGTATGTGTTTTTTCCCAATCAGAGCCAAAACCACAATGGAATGCAGTTGCTATGACAACAACAGCAACAACAACAACACGCTAAACTGCAACAAAACGGCAACCTTCAGCATCCTGTTTATTTTCACCTTTCAAATCGTTCCTGATTGGTTGTCTCCATTTTACGTTGGAAAATCTGTCTTCTTCACCAATCGACTGTCTGTGTGCTCGTCCTTTAATCAGTCTCTCTTTCTGTCTCTCTCTCTCGTGATTCAGACAGGCGTCTGTCTGACGCTGAACATGTGTTCAAACAGAAGAACTGCTAATAAACTTTGAACGTCAAAATCTTGAATCATTATTATAGCTAAACTGAAAATGTCATCTAACACAAATATAAAAAATAAGAGTACAGATATTAATGATTAATCATACAATGAAAATCAATACAATGAATATATAAATTATCCGTATGGACCAGCAACTATGCACTGATTATATGTCGTTTTCTGTAATCGTACTGCTATATTGATCTGCAATAATTCATCAAATATATATGAATTTGTAAAAAAAAATACTTCACATTTATATAGAAATGTATGCGTATGCTTTCAACGTTGGTCTCCACATACATACAAAGTCTTTACAAATAAACAAGAATTATAAAAATTAAAAGAAGGACAACAAATGTAAGTAACTATTAAAGAACTATGTACAATATAATTATGTGTGCATATATGTACATGATGTATATATGTATGTATACATGTATGTATATGTCTATATATACAGTTTATGTATGTGTTTGTCTATATATATGTATATCCATACAGCGGTGGCCAAAATTATTAGAACACCTGTCAGATCTGAAAATATTGACCTTTTTGTTGTCTCCAAAACATGATTTCATTTCAAAATGTTCATGAAACATGCAGATGGCTCCTCTGAGCACAACCAATAACAGATGAAGTGAGTCCTACTGTTTTTAACCACTTTTAACTAATATTTGGTATGTCCACCTTTTGCAGCAATTACAGCAATACATCTCTTTGGCATAGTGTCAATATATTTCTGGAGAACTTCCACACTAATGTTATCCTATGACTTCTGCAACTTAAGCCAAAGGCTTTACTTTGAATGTACAATAGATCTGTCCAGTTTATTTTCCAACTCGCCAAATTTGCTTGATGGGGTTGAGGTCTGGACTTTGAGGGGGCCAGTCCATCATTTTCAATGTTCCAGCAGATTCCTTCTGTCGCAGGTAGTTAAAGGTAAAACAATTTATTTAATGTTGTGGTATACTTCCTTATCCATGATGCCGTCAATTTTCACTAAGTCACCTGTTCCTGAGACTGAAATGGTACCCCACACCATCCATGTTTAACTGTCGGAAAGAGACACACATTTTTATATCTTTCCCCCTCCCTCCGTCGAACATCCACTCTTCGCTTGTTGCCAAACTGTTCAAACTTGGACTCATCAGTCCTCAACACTTTACACCAATCCTCCATCGTCCATTTCTTATGTTCTTTTGCAAATTTCAGGCGTTTCACTCTATTTTTCTCTCTCAGTAATGGTTCCTTTGCAGGTATTCTGCCAACAAGTCCTTCTTCTCCCAGTTTCCGTTGCACAATTCTTGAAGACACTGTTGCCCCATCAGTCATTGTGGTGTTGATCTCATCACGCAGTTCTTGTGAGGTCTTTCTTTCTCTCCCCTTTCGGTTCTGGTGTGAATTGGTCGCATCATGGCAGTCTAAAGTGTACTTTACTGTGCTTGGACTGCATCTCAAGTCCCTGGCTATGCGGCGGGCCTTTATTCGAGTCAGAAGGAGCTAACGGGTGAACAACTTCATCTTAGCCATGTTCAAAGAGCAACATGTGCTTTAAGATTACTTCTAGATGCTTTGAATTTATACCAATTGGTGGTGTGGCCTCAGTGACAAAACCATGTTACAAATCACTTAATGAGCAGGATAGGCCTTGTACATTCAAAAGAAGAGTGTCCTATGACTCTTGCATCACCAGCAATTTAACCACGATCAAACCTGACAATGATTAACTTATTTGGCTTCTTCTGTGAAGGAACATGATTGTGTGACATTGACAGTGAAATAGGCCTAGCTTGTTTTTTGTAAGGGAAATTACCTAAATCTCCTTATGATGGCTCTATTCTATGGTTTATACAGCATAATGATGACTTTGTAGATATGTCCTTCCTTTAATGGGTATTTTAATGGCCAATTCAACAAAAACAAAAGAAATCTCGTAAATATTTCAAGTGTTCTAATACTTTTGGCCACCGCTGTATATATACACATATGTCTATATATACACAGTATGTATGTGTATTTCTATTTTCCATTATTAACATTTTTTTTAACCTGGTGTCCATTGAGATTAAAAATGTCTTTTTCACGGTAGACCCGGCCAAGACATGCATTAACATAGAAACACATCTACAGACAGTGAACACAATAAGACAGGTTAAAGGAATCTAACATTTTAAGATAACATAACCGGGTTAATTTAAAAACATTGGAAACCTGCCTCTATTTCCTTCATTTTGGATTTAAAAGCATTAAATGGTATCCCTTCTTTACGTTTTAAATCTTACAGAAGAGACCTTTTTCTAATTTCCTTTATCGCATTTGGGACAAAAGGAGCATGATGAAGACACGCAGGTAGTTTAGAAGCAGACCAAGGATTGCCTTCTAAATGAAGGTGTACCAATGACAGAGCCTTCTGCCAAAGCAAGCCATCCAACCCGAGAGGATAAGTACATATACATATACTGAGCAGTACAGCAGAGCAGCTGAACAGTATATATATATATATATATACTGTTATATCCTGCCAATATATATATATATATAACATTACAGGGCAATTAGCTGGCACTTTTATCCCAAGCAACTTACATTGCGTTTCTAACCCATGTTTTTTTACATTTTGCTCAGGGAGTAATTCGGGGTTAGGTGTCTTGCCCAGGGACACTCCAACATGAGACATGGAGCTGCCAGGGTTCGAGCCACCAGGAATCAAGAATCAGGAAACATTTATTGCCAGTACGACAATAGACGACAAGACAACAGTGCACAACGAATAAAATAAAATATAATGCTATGGGTTAGTAGTATAAGGCTATGGGTTAGTTTAAAATAAAAGAATAAAAGTTTTTAAAAAATTAAGAAATTAAATAATAAAGTGCACTAGCAAACAGGAAGTGACAAAAGTGATGAGTGACAAGTGAAAATAACGTGTGCAGAATGAAAGAAAGTGACCGGTGGAATGTCAGAGTCAGTCAGTGGGGGACCGACTCTGTTGATGAGCCCGACTGCCGACGGGAAGAAACTGTTCGTGTGGCGGGAGGTCTTACTCCTGATGGACCTCAGTCTCCTGCCAAATGGAAGGGGCACAAACAGTTTTTGTCTGGGGTGAGAGGGGTCGGCTACCATCATTTTGGCTCGCTTCAGGGTCCTAGAAGCGAACAAGTCCTGCAGGGACAGCAGATTGCAGCCGATCACCCTCTCTGCAGAGCGGATGACACGCTGCAGCCTGCCCTTGTCCTTGGCTGTGGCTGGATGGACTCCCATGATGGCCGTGTAAAAGTGCACCATCATCGTCTTTGGCAGGTTGAATTTCTTCAGCCGCCTCAGGAAGAACAACCTCTGCTGAGCCTTCTTGGTGGAGCTGATGTTCAGCTCCTACTTGAGGTCTTGGGTGATGATGGAGCCCAGGAAACGGAAGGAATCCACAATAGTGGCGCAGGGGTAGAGAGGGTACTCCGGGAACTGCAAGGTTGGTGGTTCGAGCCCTGGCTGCCCCATGTCGAAGTGTCCCTGAGCAAGACACCTAACTCCTAATTGCTCCCCCGGGAAAAATAGAAAGCCATGTGTTATAAATGCAATGTAAGTCGCTTTGGATAAAAGCGTCAGCTAAATGACCTGTAATGTAATGTCACACACATTGATGGGGGAGGGTGGGGCTCTGTTCCTCCGGAAATTCAAAACCATCTCCACTGTCTTTAGAGCGTTGAGCTCCAGGTCGTTCTGGCTGCACCACGTTACCAGATGGTCAGACTCCCACCTTTAGGCGGACTCATCCCCACCAGAGATCAGACCAATGAGGGTGGTGTCATCCGCAAACTTCAGGAGCTTGACGGACTCGCAAGAGAGGGTGTGTGTTACGTTTTCACCTCAGTTGTAGCTCGTTGGAGGTGGGGAACGTAAACACCTGTACTTGCGCACCCAGTGTAAGTAGCGGTGGACGGTGAAGGAGTGTGGGGGTGCAGCTGCCCAAAAATAAAGAGACGTGACACACAACTCGCGTTTGGTCCTGGTGGGACATTTAGTAAAGCAAATAGACAACAAAAACAAATAACGTACACACAACCAAGGAAGTTGGAGAAGGGGGTTTAGGGACTGGGGTCAAAGTAATGAAATAAACAAAAGGTCCCTATTCTTCTACTCGCCTCTCCCTGCCTAACACAGTCCATCCCTAACCAGCTTACCTCTCTATGGCCAAAACTACAGGAGTGACACCCACCCAGCTAACATAGGGTGTCTAACAAAGGTTTTCCTACGTGATGAAAATGTACACCCATGGGCAGATATACAGTACCTACCCCTTCTCCATAACTCAGGTAGCGCACAACTGGATCTCACCCGACAGGATTTAACAAAACAACGTCTTTGACAGGCCATACAAAAACACAAGCCTTCTCTCTCCTTTTCCTTCCTCCTTCTTCTTCTTCTCCAGCAACCAGGCTGTTTTATGTAGGCCACCAGCTCGTTAGCTGATTAGGCTCCAGGTCTTCAGTGGCCACGCCTCCTCGCCAACAGCCAACCAGCACCGCACACCTGTGAATGGAGAAAGGGGCACTCTTCCCCCACTCACACAGTTAAAGGGGCAGAACAAAACATGGGGACATGTAACAGTGTGACTGACTGACCTTGCGATTCCATTCACACCCTCTCTACTCCATGCGCCACCGTCGACCACAATATATAAACCCAGTTGGCATTAACACAGAGTTGCCAAAGTTAACAGTCAAGTCCTGTGTAGGAGAATCTTTTCCCGGAAAGAGAAGTAGTTCAGTCTTGTCGGGGTTGATTTTCAGATGGTGAGCGGACATCCACTGAGAGATGTCAGTCAGACAGGCAGAGATCTGTGCCGCTACCTGAGTGTCCAAGTGAGGGAAGGAGAGAATTAGTTGGGTGTCATCAGCATAGCTGTGGTAGCAGAAGCCATGCGAGCGAATGACAGCGCCGAGAGAGTTGGTGTAGAGTGAGAAGAGGAGGGGACCGAGGATGGAACCCTGAGGAACTCCAGTAGTAAGAGGACATGGT